GCCTTCTTAAATGTAAATAATATTATTCTGTAGCACAGAATTTTAATCAATTAATTTTATAAGTATTCTGCTCTGCAAAAACATTTTTCTGTGAATCGTTGCACTTATGTCTCAGGGAGTGAGAAATCTCAAAGCATGTCATGTATTTATTCCTTATATTTAAATGGCAAAAAAATCCACAATAAGTTACCAAATATTATAGCAATAACTAAATTTAATCACTTCTTGATATATGTAGATTCAATAATGCCAATAAAATGGATTATTGGCTATTAAATCTATACTAATAATTTAATTGTTTGACAGAAAAGAAATGAAAGACAAGCCAACTATTAGCAAAATAGCAGAATAGACAAAAGAAGACCCTGCAGACTCACTTTGCCAATAACTAAGGAAATGAGACACAAAGCATAGAAAATGTTAGTATTTTATATTAGGATGGATGGAAGGCTGAGTTAATCTTGAGCCTCCACAGGATCAAGCTCCAGGCTGTGGGCAGAGTTTGCTTGCAATACTGCATTTTAACCACTGCGTCATCAGGGCTCCTATTTAGAAGAACTAAATGATTTCTTTAGTTCCTATTCATGCCATTCTTACCTCCCTAAGTCCCAGACTCTCAAAGGTGAATTATGTCCACAGCATGCTGTTCCAGTCACAAATGAACTATTAAAGAAGAAAACAAGACATATTAGATTTATATTGCTATTAAATATCTGTGCTATAAGTAAATGAATATGCCAAAGACTTGTGAATTGCAATGCATAAGAGTTTCCATGCCTGACAATTTAACAAAGAAAGAATAGTACAAATCTCAAGAAGTCCATGTCAAGACATTTAAGTAGGACAACCATCTCCAATTTGTATAATCCTTCATGCTAGCTGAGTTTATTGAATTAAAGTCCAATATCACTGGAGGATAGCAGATTAGGGAGAACTGGAATATGAAATATGGGAAATTGTTGATACCAATTCTGACACACAAAACAGTAATATAGGCAAAATCATAACTGTGCCATAATGATCATATGGTATCCATTTCCTAAAACAAGGAAAGCATCTGTCAGCAAACTATTTCAAGATGAATCATCCTAATATCTGTAACATTGGTCCATTTGGGACATTCTCCCCCAAGAAGGGAGGAGGACCCCCAATCTCCTGCCCTTTCAGAAATATCTAAAGAACTGGCTCTTTCATGCCACTTGGGGCTAAAAAAGGAGCACACAGATATAGGGTTGGTTAGTGCCCTGAAGGCACTACCCCTGCCTTTTAATTTATATTTAATATCAAACTTTAGCAATCCTTGCCTTTATTTTAAATGTTTTATATTCAGTTTTTATGCTTTAACCCTTTTGTTTGTATACCAGCCAGAGTCCTTCTCTGAGGGAAATGTGCGATAGATAGATAGGTAGGTAGGTAGGACAAACAAAATTGGTACTGGTAGGGTGAATTATATAGGAATACAGCTGAATTGGAAAGATTAAATGCAATGTTTTACTTTGTTTAAGCTATCTAAATATAATCTATTAATACAATTGTCTTTTTTCCTTTTCCAATTAAGAAAACTTTATTTAACTTTATATATATATATATATATATATATATATATATATATATATATGTGTGTGTGTGTGTGTGTGTGTGTGTGTGTGTGTGTGTGTAGGTCTTTGATTATTCGGGTCTTCTCCCACGTAAAATTGGAAGTGTCTTGGCGACGTTTCAACGAAGTCTCATTCGTCATCTTCAGGCTGGTGTTCTCGGCTTCGTGCTTCCAGGAGCAATGTGAGATCGCAGCTGTCTCTTCCTTTTAACTGCTAGTGGGGGTGTGAGCTGATTGGGTGGGAACTTGGCTGTGTTCTGATTGGGTGGAGGTGTGTTCTGATTGGTTAGGGGCTTGGCTGTGCTCTGATTGGATGGGGGGTTGGTTGTGCTCTGATTGGCTGGGGGTGTGTTCTGTTTGGGTGGGAGCTTGGTTGTGCTCAGCTTAGTCTGAGTTGCAGGGGGATTTGAGCTGGTGAGCTGCGTTGTTGTTTGGCTTCGTGTTTGTGGCCGTGCGAGCTCTTCATGGTGGGTGTCAGTCTGCTTCATGTATGGATTGGAGGGGTTTAAAGTGGCTAATGATGCAGCTGCAGTCTGGCTTCTGGTCCTTGGTCGTGGCTCATTATCAGTGTGGGTTTGAGTCTGCTTTCTGTGTGGATGTGTGGTGAAAGCAGAAAGCAAAAAAACCTTGGCTACGTAGGGAAAACCTGGCTAGAAGAAAAACATTATATATATATATATATATATATATATATATATATATATATATATATGTCTTCTTAAGTTTTCGCGGGTGTGTATATGCAAAAAATTAAAGATGACACCTCTAGGTTATCAAGTATTTGGGGACCTGCACTGAGAGAAACTCGAGTGTTAACATCAGAAGAGAGGCAGAGATTCCAACAAGCAACCAGTGGTGTTGCAAGGCCTGCCAGAATTCTTCCCTCTTTGCAGAGGGTGGCTAGCAATAGGGAGAGAGAGAGGATCGAGCCAGAAGACAGGCTGACATCTCAACTAACAGTCAAGGGTGCTGGGATGCCTACCAAAATCCTTTCCCCTCTACAGCAGACAGATAATAATAGAGAACCTGAGAAAGCTAGGCCTGTAACACGTAGCCAAACAGCCAGGATGAGGAAGCAGGAAGAAAAACTGCTGTCCTCCAATCAGGACACAGTGTTACAGGCTAACCAGCATACGTCAGCAGCAGCAAACATAGAAAAGCGACAGCTCCAACCCCGCAACACACCCATAGCTTCTAAACTAAACAAGAGCCTGAAGATGACAGGGCTGTGAGCCTGTCGAAACGTTGCTAGAAAGAAAAAACTTTTAAGGTACTGGTAGGATTTTAGCTAAGGTTTTAAAGGACCTTGCAGAGTGCTCTGTAAGGATTTTTGGAAGATTTTAAGCTGGATTTTAACCAGAATTTTAAACATTTTAACTAACTTATTTAACATGACGCGGGAAAACACCTGAGATTTTAATTTTTTGCATATATATATATATATATGTATAGTTATATATATATATAGTTATATATATATACTGAATATAAAACTATAACATTTCTGACTTTTAAGAAGTACATTAACTACACTTGTATAATTGTAAGTTTTTAGTCTTATAATTCTTATATTCTATTTTTAAAAAATGTGTACAGTATTTATAACATTTAAAACAAAGATGTATTTTCAAAAAAGATATTTATGAATGAACAGATCTTGACTGGGATTGTACAATTATTACTGATAACATTAGTACAAGTTTCATGCAGAATATACTGAAATTTTTATTATATAAAAAGTATAAATTTTAATGTCAACTTCTCCACTATATTATTGTTCATAAATGTCCAAAACAAAGAAAAAGGTAAAAACACTTCTAAAAATAATACAGGTAGTCTTCTAACATTATTGAGCCCAAAATTTCTGTTGCTTAGTAAGAAAGTTGTTAAGTGAGTTTTGCCCCATTTTACGACCTTTCTTACCACAGTTGTTAAGTGAATCACTGACATTGTGAAGTTAGTAACACTGTTGTTATCTGGCTTCCCCACTGGCTCTGCTAGTCAGAAAGTTGCAAAAAGTGATCACATGACCCCGAGACATTGCAACCATCATAAATACATGCCAGTTGCCAACTTCCTAGGGGTGATAAAAAGTGATTGACCCAAAGTTAGCTACCTTGTGGTTGTGGCAGCACTAATTTAATTTAATTTAATATTTAAATTTATATACTGCCCTTCTTCCGAAGGACTCAGGGCGGTGAACAGCCAGAAGTAAAAAACATCAAACAACTAGAACTCACTGCATCCAGGTTTCTAGCCTAATGCCTTAATCACTACATCAAACAGGCTCTCATTCATGATTAATGCCTAATTTATTTGTAAAAAGAGGTTTCATTTCCAATTTGATTCCTAAAATTCTCTGAGTAGTGATGTCAATATTTCTCCAATACTTTGGGGGGGGGGTGTTACATATCCACCACATTATGATAGAATATTTCTTCTTGTGAGTTTCTTCTTTTCTTTTGTGGAGCTTCCAATATTTCATGATTTACCTATTTTGGCTATTATTGATAGAATTTTATATCAGTAAAACATTTTATACCAGTTCTTTCTCAAAGCATAACTTGGATGGAATTTTATAGATTTGTTCTTTAGGTACTGATCTTTACATACAAGTGCCCTTCCCTCTAAAATAAAAAGTGACTACATTACATAGCACTATATGGATCAGAACTGACGATCCATTTTACTAGCTATGTAATGTAGTTAAAGAAGTTAAAAATTATATTCACAACTATTTATGAAGAAAGTGTGGCTCCTTCTATCTAAGAGATAAATTCAAAGAATTTTAATTCAAAATATTTGTTAGTCTAGAAATTCTGATAAAATGTAATCAGTTCACACATCCTATCCCTAAACTGCTGTGCTTAGATGTACTGGAGTACAATTTTCATATTCTTGAAAGGAAAGCATATTTCTAGAATTTATAAGTTCTTCATTACATTTTGAGGACATAAATGTATTAACTTTTTGGATTTTGCTTCGTTAAGATCTACATAGAGAATGCCAAGAACCTGAACTAACAGACTACTTTTTATGCATCAGCTAGCAGCATATTCTTTTCACCAAAATGTCTAAACACAAGATTTCATTCCACACCTCATGGGCTATCCAAGATAAGTCTTCAGAACATCTGCAAGCTCTTAAATATAGGGCGGCACATCAATTGATCCCCCAAGCCAGCAAGCAGTCTTGTACTCAATGGAGCCCAGAAGTAAAAAAAAAATCCTGAATTTTGTCTCTTTTTGTCTCTTTAGCATAAGCCATTAATAAATGGTAAAGCCAATTACCGTGGTTAGAAACATAATAGCAGCTTGGAAATCACTGAAGTGGGCAATTCAGTTTTTAAGATTTCTGTCTTGCTTTTTCTCTCTCTCCCTTGCTCAACACAGACACACAGGTCTTTCAGAAGAAGGTATGCAACATCCTTCCAGTGGCTGCACAGGTCTAAATTAGCATCAAGGTATGTCAATAGGACTGAAGAGAGGGGTGGAGACCATCAACACTAATCCCCGCTATTCTGCTTGTATAGCCTGTTGTGATTGGGATTAGAAATTTCTTGGTGGGTTGGCTTGCAAATTGCACCACTTCCCGCAAACTACACAGAATCTGAACCACAAATTCTTCCCATTCTAGAAGAATCTGAAAGTTCTCATAATTCAAATAAAAATAATTTCTAATATTGAGGACAAATATAAGGTCTTACGTTGCATTTCACTTTCACAACTGTTAACTTTTGTTGTTAGCACAAAGAATTTATTTTTTAAATGTCTGAATTGTAATTACAAGGAAAAGAATGTCATTTGCTCCTCTGACATTATATATTTTGTTTTGTTATGAAGAATTAGAATTGGGATTAAAAACTTTCAGAATAATAGCAATAGAATTACATGCCCTGGATATATTTAGATCCACATATTCTTTTTACAATTGCTACACCCTGATTTTCTCCAAATAAATTCTTCATGCAAAGAATGGCATATCTACAATCACTTTACCTATTCCTTCCTAAATATATTGATAGTGAAGATGCCAATATCAAGTTAGCTATTTCTTCCCACTCATCTCTTGCAAACTGGTTTTGGGAAAATATAGGTATCTCAAATATTTTCATCTCTGCTCAATCCTAAATTGTTTAATTTAATCTTCCATATTAGAAATGCCCCTCAATCTTCATCTATTATTTTTTGAGGTATTTAAGAAGGAACACGCTATTCCAAACAATTTTTTTCCAGGTAAATAATGATCTTCTACAATAGATATCCCTCAATCCCCATCTATTATTTTATTGGACAAATCTTCCACAACTAACAAGGAAATTTAGTTGGGAAAATGTAATTTCTACCGTATCTCCTACAGAAAGTAGATAGAAGATTCTGAGAGAACTTCTAACACTTACATTTTGTTCAGCAACAGTTTCCCTTTAGGGATGGATAGGGGATATGCAGAGGAGAATTGTCTCTGTCCCCCTAAGAACCAACAACCAGCAGAGAGAACTTTAATGTTGCATCTTCTTCATTTATCTTCCATTTTTCAAAGCTCCTCCCACAGCTTTGGATATAGGGTGCTACATTTCTCTGTGGTAGTAACCCTACCAATTGCCTTGTTCCCCAAATCAGAATCCTTTTACTTCAGGCTCCAAAGAATCAGTAGATTCAGGCTGAGCTTGTGCAGCTATTGCAAATGAACCTGTTGAAATAGATTGGAAACATGAGCATCAGTGGCTGATTTCTACAATCTTTCTATGTTTGAATAACCTTTTCAATTAAATTAGATATTTTACTCTGCGTCTCTTGCACCAGGAGTCCAAACTGTAATTCCCTTCTCAATTTTTTCCTCTCCCATCATTGAGACAGGTATGTGACAGAAGTGCATATGGGGCAAGAAATTTTAGGACCCCAAAAGGAACATTTTGAAATCAGATTACAGAAACTACAGATGAAAAATAACAACTGTTATTAGTACCGTCAAGGGGAAATTATCAATAACCTGGTCAACTAGCTTTTTGGGTGATCATGTAGAGGGAAAATATCTGGTAGAAAGTCATATGTAGTTTCCAAAAGCACTTGGTAGGGCTTCTTGACAATGCTAATTACGGTTCATTTGTAGAAAGCCTTGGCAAGATCTAGCTATTCTATGCTGCTTGAAGTTCCTACAGAAAACCTAAAGCCTTCAGAACAGAGAAGGGTGGGAAGGCATTGGACAACAAGTGTGGATGATAATCTGAGGCAGTGACATATGAGTGAAAGAATGAATTTAAATATTATTACAGCCACAGGCCATAGGACTGGGCCAACTATCTTGCTTATATAGCAACAATGGTACTGTTCCAAAATTGGATCTGTCCTGTTTCATAATTTAGGAGCATAGATATGAAAGGTGAAATCAGAAAAGAACTGTGCCCACCTCATATAAGATGTAGGCAATCTTAATGCCCAGATGTTCTTAACGGCAACTCTGACCACACTACAGAGTTATATGGTGATATAATCCAAAACACCACGGTTATCAGGTTATCTATCTGTATGTTGTTTTACTGCATAGCTTACATGAACATACATTTCCTTGTATGTAGGAAAAAGAAAACTGCCCAGGAAGGATATGGAACCCAACGAAATAAGATACTGTACTAAAGAAGCAACCACAATTCCCACAAGAAGGCAAAATTGAAAATTGAAAACATAATTGACTGTACCCAGTGAGTGCTCATTAATGCCTCCACTTCAGCATGGAGAGAAGTTATCAAGTAGAGTTCAATAGAGCTGTGTCCTAGGCCTATACTGTTCAACATTTTTTATCAATGTTTGGACAAAGTGTTGAGGCAATACTTACCATGTCTGCCGGTTACATAAAGCTAGAATGGATAGCTAACACTTTAGATCGACATGCAATGAAATGAATAAACTGAATGCAATAAGAAGAAATGTAAGCTTTACATCTAGGTCAAACAAAAAACGAAAGGCACAAATATAGCATCAGTGAGATCTAAGGAGAGATATGATATTAGTCTTCAAACATCTGAAGAGTTGTCATATAGAAGGGGGAGTGGATTAATTCTACATTATCCAGAGGCAGGACCAGAACCAATGGGTTAAAGCTATAGGGAAATATGCTCAGGCTAGATATCAGAAAGAATTTCCTGATTATATAAACAGTCTGCTAGCAGAACAGGTGGCTGCCACATTAAGTGCTGCGTTTTCTTTTCTGGATGTATTGCTAAATGAGAAATGAAACATCTTCAAAGAAAAACCAGAAATTCCAGTTGCCTCTTGAAAAAGCATCTTTGGGTCTCTTTTCTGGAGTTTTGAAGCAGAGGCTGGATGGTAATCTCTTAAAAAAAGATCCTGACTGAGCAGCAGGTTAAAGTAGGTAAAATCTAAGGTTCTCCTTATATCTTTTTAAAAAATCTTTAGTTTTTGTCTCATCTTAAGTCAATAATTTTATCTGAGAACTTTTTTATATACTGGACTACAGTATCTGGATTACACGTGCAGGTTTTAATCCGAGTCCTTTCTCTCATCTTCACATCTTGTAAATTAGTTCTAATTGTCCCATTCTGAAAACTACTGTATATAAAGAATCAATGAAGCAAGAGAAAGCTAGGAGAACACTATTTCTTAGGAACAGATCTGGTGTATGACAAAGTAGGTTAACAACATCTTGTTTGGACAAAGAGTTTGGATATGGGGAAGGAATGAACCTAAGTGTCAAAAAAGAAACAGAGGGACAGAGCATGCTGACAAGAGAGCCTCTTCCAACCACAGAACTGTATTATCCACACAGACGTAAACTTATGCAGCCTTTGAGTCTGCACCAACACGTTAGTGCGAGAGCAACCACCAAAGCTGTCAGATCCTTCACCAACATGCCCATCAATGCATTCAGCTTTTCCCAACACACATTGGCATTTTAATTACTGTTGGGTAAACTAATTTGTCCAAATGAAGGCAACTCAGTCTCATAGAATATGCAGGCTCCCTGACCTCTGACAGGCAATGACACAAGATACAAAAGGAGGCAAAGGAAAGCTTTTTTTAAATCAGAGCCTTATTACTCTCTATTACTCCAATTAGTCAAGCTTCAGTAGTTTGAATTGGGGGGGGGGGGAATTGCAATTAAATCAATTTTTGATGGTCTGGAAGTGGGTTACCAAACCGCCTGGCCTGTGAAATACTGATATTATAGCAACAAAGGTTAAAGTCTTTGTCAGCACCTGTGGACCTTCTGTCTTTCCTGTATCTTCCTCCACGCTGCTTCTGTGTCCCTCTAAAATAAGTCATTAGAACATGTCATGTCTTATTGTAGCTGCCATCAACCTCCTAACCTAATCAGTTGACATCATTACGGAAGGTAATTCCTACAGTTATATTTAGTGCTAAGGTCACACAAACTTGCAGTAACACCCCCCCCCTTTTTCTGGAAAATGATGGAAGGAGGGCCATAACATTAGAAACATATTCAAGAGTAGGAAAGAAGTAGGCATTGCACAGCAAATGGTCTCAAGCTGTGTCTGCATTGAGGAGCATTTCCACATGTCTGCATATTCTCATGAGATGGCTAGACATTGAGAAAATGCTCTTCTCTCTAGAGAAACCTCACACAAACAGCAAATAAACAATCAGAAAATCAGTGTTAATAGAGCAATCTCTAGTTTTCATATAGTTATGAATGGAAGGAGGAAGAAACACCACTAGTAGTTGCTGCAACAAGAATACTTGAGAGATACTCTGGAAAATCGAAATGTAACAGGAAAAAAAAACATTTGCATTGTTATATTTTCTGTGATTTGGTCTCAGTGCTAAGTATTGTAGGCTGTTTATATACAACATTTATATTTTTTAAAAAATTTTCAACATTACTCTCTTTTTGCACAGCATGGATTTTTATTATATTCTACTACTTGTCTACTACTAGTTATTGACTTGTATAAGATTAGTACATGATTTAATATTAATACTATTCACAAAGTATATGGTACATCTCTGTAGATTTCAGTTATATCATTATTTTACAGCTCTATGCAATTAATCTTTTATCTACTTTCGTGATAGGCTGTACACATAAATTGCTATGCCTCTGGTGTTTTTTTTAAAGTAATAGTTTTTTCCTTTTACAATGTCAAGTAGCTTCATTAGTGTTAACATCTCTGGGAGTTTTAAAAACCTATAGTTTGAAACATTTTTATGCTGTTCTTGGACTGAAATAAATTTGTTTCAAAAATAAAAATGTATTTAGCTAAAGGAGAAGAGTTAGACAAGGATGTCTATTGGGCCAGTTTTATTTATTAAATAAATGCTCTGGTACCTTATTTGCTTTTCACCTTTCAATGCTAGCCCACAGGGATATCAGTGGTTTATTAAACACAAATAAAGCAGTAACTTTACCTTTTATCCTTGTCAGTTAAAAGAGTGTTGAGGTCATTCTTGAGATCACCCTTTTCATATTGCAATAAGGCAGAATTAATAATAGACTTTTCCAAGACAAGATCCATATATCTCAGTACCCAAAACAGTGAATCTGGCAATTAGGTGGGCATACCATCAAGCAGGTCAAGATCTTTAAATTTTACTAGCCTGTGGAAGTCAAAATGCTCATCTGGATTCTGTGGCTCAAATGCACAGAAATGAACTTCAGCAATTTAAACTTATTATTTTGCCTAAGATGCAGAGTTTATACCTGCTGCAATCAAGTTATTTGACTCAATTAGGACTGTATAGCAACAAGACTATCCTATCAATTTTTAAAGAAATGTCTTCCCCCGGCTGTGTTCCAAATTCTATGCTCTGGCAGGAAGCAGGATCAGTGAAGTTGAATCCAGCCTCTGGTAAAATATTTTTACTTATTTAGCTAAAGGTACTTCATAACCTATTTGGCTTGGTCCTTCTAATTTTAACAGACAACTTGATATCCTCTTGGGAAAAAGTAACAGTAATGAATTATTGTGGGTTTCCCAGCGATGCTTATCTTGAGCCCAGATTGCTGTTCTTCCAGAGGTTATATTCATTTTTAAAAATCACATTTTACATTCTAAACCAGCTTCTTATCTATCAGATTTCAATTCCTTAATTCAGAGCTCATTTAATCTCCATCACAAAGCATTACTGGAGAGGAAATATAGAAGTTCTTTTGAAGTACAGCACTGCTCTGTAACACAGGTGCCATAAAAAATACAGCCCATATCCTCCTTAACTATCATTCTTACAGGAACTTTAGGGTCTGATTACCCCTCATTTGTCCAAATTTCTTAAGCACTGATAAATTTTATTTATTTTAATTACCATATTATCATAATAACTTTACTTCTCTAAATGTAGTAAAATTCTGTTATATCATGTGAAAACTCCATGCACAGATGGTTAGTAACCACTAATAATATAGTTTAGATCCTTTTCTATGAAATATGGACCATAATTACACTGTCATTAGATCCATCAAGCTGACATAAATATGCCCATAAATTTGTATATTAGTGGTTTTTTTATCATTTTTAGCTCCTCAGACTTTTAATTTACTGTCATTTCTTTGTACACTATTTTAACCACATTACTATATTTTTTATATTTACAATATTAATATTAATAAGTTTGCTTGCAGATTTTATATTTCATGTTAGCTATTTTTATTTTAATTATTACCCCGTAGTTTTAGCCAAATTACATAAATCAAAAGTATTCACATTTGTTTTTGATGGCATATCATCATCTTTATAATCTTAATCTTAAATGTTTAATGTTTAGCTTGTGCTGGTAATTTTAATTTTGGTCATTTCTTATGTAGATTAGATTATTACAACAAGAGGACTATAAATTTATTCTTGAATGTTATATTATGGCTGTTGATGCCAAGAATAAAGATACCACTACTACTACTATTATTACTACTACTAATTTCTAAACTACTACCTCAAGTAAGACATTGTCTACCTATCCAGAGGAATAAATTAGTTACAGGTGGGACAGTAGTATTTCTGAAATGTTATTAGGAATGTTCACTGATCTCTCTTTTATATATCTCCCCCCTCCCCCCCCCCAAGGACACATAGAGTACAAGCAAGAAAAAAATCTTTCAGGGACCCAGGTTATACTCTTCTCTGTTCCTTATCAGGCTGTATTCCTATTTGCATGGCTTACTTTTTTTTTTAGATTAAAACATTCAAAAATGTAATCTCTGTTTGAATTACTTCCAGTTGGACTTTAATGTGCACTGACAACAGTTTATTGTACCATTTTTCCAGACATCCAGGCACCATTATATTTTGGTCATCAGTCCCTTTGCCATTTTTTTCTCTAAATATGGAAAAACAGTTACTGTATTTGGTAATATATGGAAGTATGGCTTTCCAAAAGTGAGAATGTTCTTTTGGAAAGGAAATGAGAAATTTGATGGCTGCGGTAATATTCACTGTCTATATTTCTCATCCTTTAATTTCCTAAATATACTAATTAATATGAAGGTGCGCATAGACAATTAAAATCAATTGCAGAATTTACTAATATAGTAATTAATATGAAGATGCATGCAGTTTTTAAAAATTATCTAAACACTCCATTTTAAAATTTATTGGATGACTTGTCTCCATCTATCCATCTTGCCTACTGCAAAAAAGTTTGTTTCCTTGTCACAGAAGGAAAATACAAATATGAGAATATTATGATAGGAAGAGTCACTGCAGACAAATAAATAGCTGGAGTGTT